TGTCCGGTGGGCGGTCCTACTCGGTGGTGACGCCGGTGAAGCAGCAGGGCCGCTGTGGAAGTTGGTAAGTGAGGAGCTGAGTTGATAACTGATAAAAAATTTTTGATCATTTTTTTCGCTTTTTTCAAGTTATGTTTTTGCTGGTAAGTTTTTGATCATATTTTTTTTACTTCAGAATTTGTAAACTTTCTTTTTTTATCTGAAACATAGGCGTCGCCGCAATGGAGTCTGCTTTTATGCTCTCCAATGAAAATAAGGAGCCCGGGCAGACGGTTTTCAGCGAGCAGGCGTTGCTCAACTGCCAGCGCGGCGGCTGCCGGGGCGGCTTCCCTACTGAAGTTTGGCGGGGCGCCCAGCGAAGGGGCGTGACGCTGGCCGCAAACTCCGCCTACGTCGGCCACCCTGAGCAGTGTCGAAACTTCCCCTCCAAGGCCCGCCCCACTAGCTTCTGCCAGAACCGACGCCTTCGCTCTGATGCCGACATCATCGGCGTTGTCTATCAGTTTGGACCGGCGGCCATTGCGTAAGAAGCAAAAATCTAGGTTTAGAATGTTTAAAAACTCGTTAATTTTTTGCTTTGTTTTTAGAATCAACGGTCACGCCCGGTCGATGAAGCTGCTGCGCGGCACTTGGAACAACCGGGACTGTTCACGCCATGTGGATCACGTGGTGACGGTGGTAGGCTTCACGGAGGACACCTTCATCATGAAGAACAGCTGGGGCAAAGGCTTCGGAAAGGACGGCTATCTGATTCTGAAGCGAGACAACACCAACCGCTGCGGCATCTACACCGAGATTGAGTTGCCCTTCTTCAACGGCCAGGACAAGGGCTACAATACATAATAAGAAGTTTTTAGCTTACTTTTTTGTTATTAAAAATAAATCAAATCTGCTGTGTACTGGTTGAATTTGTATGATCGTTTTTGCAGTTACTGTTTACGCAAAAAACGACGCTGATTACCGCCAAAACTGTAACGTGTTTGCACTCGCCGCAGTGCACAAAACACTGAAAAGGAGAGGCGCAACAGTATCGTCTGCTGATGTTGCTATTGCCAAAAAAATGTTAGTCAGTCAGACAAACAGGCAAAAAACTGGTTATCAGTGACTGTAGTTGAAGTGTGGAAGTAGACAATTAGCTGTAACCGAAGCGACCTTGAGTTATCTTCCCTCTCCTCTTTTACACACTCTTTCAATCAGTGGCTGTTTGCAGTCGCTCTTTGTACAGCAGCAAACAGCTCGAGTTTTTGTAAGCCAAACGACCGATGTTCTGGAGATTACTCACTCACTCAAAAGCAAAAAGTCATCGTACAGCGTAACTGGTATTAGTACATTGTCGATGCTATTGATGTGGCTGCTGTTGTGGGCATCTCTCTCCCTCTCTCTCCTCTCCCGCACACTAATTTGGCCTTGATGTCGCCGCACACAGCACTCTTTCGTCTTCAGCAGCTTCAATCAAAGCAGCAGCTGTTATGTGATGTTCACATTTTGCTGCTATATACACTTTTCTCACATTTTTTCGGTGTATATAAACAAGGGCGCTCACAGGCTGCTGAGAATGCATTCACCCACAACGACAACAACAACAACACCTTCTGAAAGAATTTTACTTTTTCAAACAATTTTTAAACAATTGACTTGAACCAACTCCTGACATTACCCAGAAATGGAGCCACTCACCCTCACCATCATTGCCATCACCACCATCGTGGTGGCCGTTTTTGCCTGGCAGCGGTACAATGACTCCGTAGCAGAGCGGGAGTTTGCCCGACGCAACCTGAAACACGTCAAGATGGGCAACATGATCCGGGCGGTGATGAGCAAAGAAAAACTGGAGGTGACCAAACATGAAACAATTAAAAAGGAAGGTCCCGTTTGGGGCTTTTCGATGATGGGCAAGTACACCATCATGGTCGCCGATCCGGAGCTGGTCCAGCAAGTACTTTCAAACCAATTCACCAACTACACTAACCGAAGGGTAAGGAATTTGATAGCTAGATTATATCAAAAAAAATTTTCAACTTATTTTAAACTCCTTTTCAGGACTTTCCCGCCCTCAACAGCTTCATGGAGAACAGTCTCTTCTTTGTGCCAGATGAAAAGTGGAAACGGCTGCGAAGCATTGCCACTCCAGGTAAATTAAACAAATAAACTCCTAAACAAAGTTCCAAAAAATACTGAAAAATCATTCAACTTTTGCTTTCGTTCAGCATTCTCCGTCGGAAAACTGCGCCAGATGAAGACTTGCATGGACGGCACCGTCCACACTATGATCACCAACATGGACGCAGAGATCAAGAGGAGGTAATGTGAAATTTGATCAAAAACTTATAAAAAATTTATCAATTTCTCTCATTTTTTAGCCCAATCCACAACGTGAAAGCCCTCTTCGACTGCTTCACCATTGACACCATCATCCAGACGGCTTTTGGCCTCAAAGTGGACAGCCT